TGGAACCGCCTGTCGTTATTCTAAAAAAGAATAATTGGCCAACGCACGGGCTGCCCGTGCAAAGATGTGTTTTTTGCATAGTTCCCCGTAAATTTCTGTCGCTAATAGCACTGTTTTCCGGCAGATGCTTCAAGCTAGAAGAATTTCAGACTAGCAGCCAGGACGAAACAATCCTTCAAAATCCCAGTCTTCTAGCTTCTCAGGTTCCCAAGTTAGCAATTTACACAAAGAAATCTTTCACGGACCCATACGTTGGAATGACTCATACCATGGGACTAGGTTTGAGCTCATTAATACCTAAACGAATGGGAAACATCCTCTCAAAGTCCCAGTTTTCTAGCTTCTCAGGTTCCCGAGTTATCAACTTACCCGAAAAAAATTTTCACGGGCCCGTACGTGGGTACCACGCGGGTAAGAGCGCCCATTTTAGGGGTTGGGGCCCGTACGTCCATGTAGATTAATTTCCCAAAGTTACAGCCCTGTAGCTTTTGTAGGTCTCAAAATGAAAAACCATGACAGACGCACACATGGACATACAGACAAATCCTCATTGATATGCGTTTTCTGCATTGCATAGCTGCAAAAATTTGCATAAAAATATGAGGAAGTCCCTTCAGATGGCTGATGAAGAGATACAAACGTTAAAAGTTGGTTTAGCCAGCTGTTGCCCCTCGTCGTTTGGTGATTGCGAAGCCAAACCCTGGGTGATATCGTCTGCGACATCGACAAGCCCATTAGCGGAGCCTTGCGAGGCAGCATCACTCAAATGATCAAACGACGACGAATCAACTGAACCATCCATGCTTGCTGGCATTACCATCCGCCAAAATCGATTCCTGTGCTTGACTACAATTAATTCGATGAAATCGAACTTATAAAATAAACAAACTCGTTAAATAAGGATGCCGTTGAATGTTGCAGTGTGGAGAGATTTTAACAATTCCAGGAAAGCTAAATGTGCGTTTTATCGGGTTATTTAAGGAAGCTGTTGCTCAAATGAGAATAATTTGCGATGAAATTACACTTTTCTCTGGCATGACCGCCACTCGGGGGAGCACAATGTGCTAGTAGAAACAACTCCAAGGAAAGGAAAAAGCAAAAAATAAGTAATCCAAGCAGCCGATATCATCGAATTTGAATGAACACGTTCCAAACTATAACATGAATAGACGGATATTTGCATTATCCCTTTTCCTGTATTTTTTTCTCTACGTCATTCGGGCGAAAAAAGCGTGCCCTGCACCTCACAAATGAAAAATAATTTATTTTACTTAACGGACAAGTGAATTCTTGGACTTTCTCGATGCTCCAAAGAAAAATGCCATCAAAAGTCTGCAAGATTTAGGTTTTTTGTCTTCCCTGAAGGGCTTGACTGCCTATGCGAATATCCTGGAAGCAACAACTAACCGGAACTGAGTTATTGAGAAGTTGGATTCAACAGCTGGCAACAGAATGCGATTGGAATGTGGGCGTCCATTAGATGCAATTAATTCGTCAACGGATACAGGAGGTGAACCACAGAGATGACCCAAGAAGCACTCCGACTGACAAAATGGTACCACATAATCGTACTGCATTCGTCTGTACACAATTTGAAAAGCCTGAAATATGCGCAACTTTAAAAGCAGTCGGTTAAGCAAGCTTTGAAAAAGAGCAACGAAGGAAGCTGGGGAGCGAAGGACGGGAAGTCACACAGCCCAATTCAAAGAAAGTTTTATTGCGCCATTTCAGCGATAGGGCAATTTTTAGCATTTTAGCAGTAAGTCCGACGAATTCGTCCATTTATTTTACTCAAAAGCAATTCAGCTGTTTGCGAATTTGTATTAGTGCTGGAGTAAGTAGCGATTCTGCGCGTCCTTCGAAAACGATCCGTGGATCAAGCGTGCTCAGCCCCGACCCGGAGTGTGGGTCGATGAAGCGGGTTTAGGGCACTGTGCGTGGATAGCCGAAGCAGCCTGGCCGGCGTAGCGTAGACCGATATAGACCGGAAATTGCGAGTATCAGCCTGGACGACCGAAGCACAAAAGAAACGTTAGGACCGTCTGACCCCGGTCAGCACCAACCGAAGAAACTCAAGACCCCGAAGCCCCCAGCTCAGTGTGAACGTTTTGGTATTTTCGTTGTTCTAATAAATCCGAACTCAACTTGTGTCACAGAGGGCACAATACTTAGGTATCTTTCGGCAAATTTTTGCGTTTCTTGGCCGAAGCTTTGCTTTTTACGCAGTGGACAATTCTGCAATCCCTTTCAGGAAAAAAAAAGTGGTCCCTGTTCCTTTCTCATCTCTATTTCCTCACTCTGCACCAGATATCCCTCCGGTTTATGACAATATAATTAGCAACGCGCACCAGACTAGCCAGTGCGATCATGCGTTTTGTGCAATTTGGCCCATT